TGGCGACATCTGGCCTAATCAGATATAAAGCAGTTGGGTTAAGTTGGATTAACTGGCAACTAAAAATTGGCAATTATCGTCATGTTAAATATGCTTTCTACTCTAGTCGACCTTAGCTGCCAGACTCGGCGACCATCCAGATGGGTTGTGCGTTTTGCCCACAACAAAGATTAGATGCTTTTAATTTCCAGTTTACTCAGTCCATCTTGTGAATGATCCCCTTGGTTTTGCAAATTTTATTCACAACAAATTATTTCATAAGGCCTAACATTTTTGTTATTATTAATTAAAATAATGGTAAACATGATCGTTCTGAAGATCAACACGATAATTTGGACAATTGACATCATAATTTATGTACTAATTTGACAAAGTTTAATAAATGTCACTCAGTCATTAGACCTCAACGATATTAATATAAATATCAAATATATTTCATTTTTCCTCTAGAAGTCAACACAAAACTTGGGACTAAAATTAGTAAGTAAAAGGATTGAAATTGTATATGTATTATTCAGTGATTTCATAGTTTTGTCGGTAAATTGAATTTCAGAAAGTATTAGAATTTGTGAATTGGATTATCAGCTTCAAGTTAGTAATGGTAGTCTTACATTGACTTCACAAAATAACAGCATAGGCACATCTTATCATTTGGAAAAGTGCCATGAAAATTTAAAAAAGTATGTTGGAATATCTCATCAAATTAAATGTAAACTGACAAAAACTTATCATATGCGTCAAAGTCTTTGCTTCTTGAATACGATTTTTAAATTAACTGAATAAAATATTGTTTTTATAAGATTTAGTGGCATTAGCACGAAAACTAGATGCATCAATTCGAAATCACAAAAAGAAATACTTTTAATAGTGTTAAAGAAAATGTTCGGTATAGGTGTGGTAAAGACTAATTTGCTTGGAATATATTCGAGGTAAACCTTGGTCTATAAGCAATAATTTGTTATTGAACCATATATTGATTTCTTAACATGAAAGCCAAAGTAGGAAAGTAGGTGGAGCTTAGGTATGCTACATGTTCATTTTGATGGTATTGCATGACTGAAGCTCCATCCCTTTTTTAAACAGAAATCATGACTTGCACGATCCTAACTTATACGTTTGATTACATATGTTAACTCGTAAGAGCCTAGGTATATAGTGTACTCTTTAGACAATATAAAATATCCCGGATCAATTATTCTGGTTTGATGATATTTTCAGTTATGTGCTTTGCATGAATTTGTTTAGTTTATTCAAATTGTATTGTATGGAGTGGTTCGCTTGCAATTGCTCTTCGAATTTGATACAAGAGCTCGGCCAACTAAATATTTATATTTCTTTCTTCCACTTCAGTTTTTCATGTATAATGAAGCGTATATTAAGTAACCAATATATTTTTAGTAGCCATTGAAATAAAAAAACATGCCGTTGACCTCAAATGGTCGTGGTCAGCGAGTGCCTTTTCATCGTCAAAAAGAAATGGATGAGTGTAAATGGCCATTTGACCCTACAACATTGGTTTTATTGTCGATTAAGTAATACTCTTTTCACAATTCATTTTTTATAAATAATAAATGCCAGAAAGTGTCATGTATTTAACTTATCGCATAAAAATGAAATAAAAAATAATTTGGTGAAAAATGGTAGGGCCCTATATTATAACCCACTGAGTTTAATCACGTCATTCTGTGATGAACGGTGATAAAAACGGATATATGTATTATCTGTACAATGAAACCAATAACTAAATAATCATTTCACTCTTAGTAATCAGTTGACAGTCAATAAATCTGGACTGACATAGTTAAAGAGACTGAAGAATGGGGTGATTTTTAATGCCTACGGCCTTGTAGTGATTTAAAGGAAGAATAATACTAGAGTTCATGGGGTCTATTGTCCTATTTGAACAACTAGCGCTTTTGCATGTCAGTGCATTCGACCTGAATCAATTCCACATCGAAAATGTATTGCAAAATCCAAAGATATCCTTAACAACCCTAGCTAGTTTTAAATCCAATATGATGTAGTTGACTGGAACCCTAGCTAGTCTCACATCCAATGTGAAGTAATTGATTGGAACCCTAGCTAGTCTCAAATCCAATGTGTAGTAGTTGACTGGAACCCTAGCTAGTCTCAAATCCAATGTGGAGTAGTTGATAAGAACCCTAGCTAGTCTCAAATCCAATGTGAAGTAATTGATTGGAACCCTAGCTAGTCTCAAATCCAATGTGTAGTAGTTGACTGGAACCCTAGCTAGTCTCAAATCCAATGTGGAGTAGTTGATAAGAACCCTAGCTAGTCTCAAATCCAATGTGAAGTAATTGATTGGAACCCTAGCTAGTCTCAAATCCAATGTGAAGTAATTGACTGGAACCCCTAGGTAGTCTCAAATCCAATGTGGAGTAGTTGATAAGAACCCTAGCTAGTCTCAAATCCAATGTGTAGTAGTTGACTGGAACCCTAGCTAGTCTCAAATCCAATGTGGAGTAGTTGATAAGAACCCTAGCTAGTCTCAAATCCAATGTGAAGTAATTGATTGGAACCCTAGCTAGTCTCAAATCCAATGTGAAGTAATTGACTGGAACCCCTAGCTAGTCTCAAATCCAATGTAAATTAACTGACTGGAACCCTAGCTAGTCTCAAATCCAATGTGAAGTAATTGATTGGAACCTTAGCTAGTCTCAAATCCAATGTGGAGTAGTTGATAAGAACCCTAGCTAGTCTCAAATCCAATGTGAAGTAATTGACTGGAACCCTAGCTAGTCTCAAATCCAATGTGAAGTAATTGACTGGAACCCCTAGGTAGTCTCAAATCCAATGTGAAGTAATTGACTGGAACCCTAGCTAGTCTCAAATCCAATGTGAAGTAATTGACTGGAACAGTCTCAACTGGCAAAATGATCTTCATTAATGTTAGCAAGGCTTTGCTGGTCTTCTTGATCGAATGAAGTGTCCGATGCAATTAACTGTTTTGTCCAATAAGTGACGTAATACGCTTAGCCCAAAGGCACTGAAAAAATATTTGGATCGAAGTATTTTTTTTTCAAATAGACTGTAGCTTTAACATTGTCAATATACTATCAAGTTCATAATTACTTGACTTATTGGAAAAATATTGTTATCTACAAAATTACATTTCCACACCTGGTGTACAGAACACAATATATAAGAATGTAATTTGCTTACAAAAACTGAAACAGTCAGGGATATTCAATAATAACTTGTGTAATTACTCTATATAGCAGGTATTTATACTAATATACTTAATCATTAATGAATAACTTTATTGTTATTTTGAGCTATAATTTTTACATATACCAAATTAACTCAAGAATGAAAAGCGATGACAAAAATAATGGCTTTAAGTTTTACTCATTGTTGTTGTCAAATGAATACACATGCTTGTATTGTTTCCTACCTATCGATTTTACGTATTCCAATCAGAATAGGGTATCTTCTTGAAGTCTTTGTTCACGAAACGGCGTTCCCCTCCTATCTTCTGTTGGTGTTCCAATATAAGGAAATATTCTTAAGGTCTTTACGAAACGGCTTTCCTAAAGTAAAAGTTATATTTATATGCCTCGAATAATTTACAAATAACTAGGACAGCACTTGATGAATACCTTTGCCACTGGAACACGTTGACACAATTTCTTGCATGCATGTATATCATTGTCTTGGCGATAAACGGTGGAACAACTCTCTCTCTTTCTCCTGATTCGGCTAATAAAAGACAGGAATAAGACGTTTCAACGAGCATCTATAGTAGTGAAAATCTAGACTAAGGTAAAAAATCTCAGTGTATTTTAATTAGATAGAATGCAACCAGTCGCGAAGTATGTCGACATTACATGGCGTTGACTGTCCTTTCTAGAGCAATCCAATGCAGAAAAATGGCACTTTAAACCATATTCCATTACAGATGTATTTACCATTTACACATAAATTAAATAATAAAAATATTTTCACTGTTAAAATACTGCTCAATACATCATTTGTATATAGAAATATTTCTACTGATAAAATTATGCACAATGCACATCAGTGTGATGGAGATAAATGCATACAATTCTAATATGTATATAATAGAAATGTAACATAACATAAAATGTTATGAATATTTTTCTGCTAAACTGGCCGTGAACATTCTTAAAGAGACTTGTAAAGAGGTTTTCTAAACAATTTGTAGTTGAATCGGGGACACTGATCATCAATTTGTACCATATCAATTTTCAACCAGATGTCTGTAGTACATGTAATTTGCACTCAAAATAAGTGTGACGACTTCCCTAATCACGAAGGGCCTTATGTAATAAAGGCTAACCTGAAGGTCCAGGGTTCAATCCCGGCATAGGTCGAGATAATACCTTCGGATTTTTCAACCCGGTTTCCCCCTGTCAGTGATGCAAGTAAGAGGGGCTGACATGGAAAAAGCGTCTAGTCGTTCGGATGGGACAATAAACCGAGGCCTCGTGTGCTACAGGCTGTGCACGTTTAAGATCCCTCGACAGTTGGAAATCGAAAAAGAGCAGGCTAATGCCGCTGTCCTGACAAAATTTCCCTCATGGCACCCTGCATGGCGTTGCCCGTCTTCATTAGCCCACAAGGTGCAGAAGAGTAGGACGTAAAACTCCATTCATTTCATTTCATTTCCACTTAAAAAAAACTTAGAAAACCTCTTTACAATCCCTTTAATACTTTTGTTACTGTTACTGCTCGCGCTCTTTGCTGTGAATCATTGAAGTTCGCGTATGTTATACTTTCATTGTAAAAGGTTCATTTTCCTCACTAAGGGCACGGCATGCGAGTATAATGATTCTTATGTACGTTTAGAAATCGCGTTAGTTGTCATCAATACTCGGGAAACATTAAGTTTTAAATAAATTCTAAGCTACTTCAGTTATATATATAGCAAGAGGAAAATTAACCTGCAACAGCTGTGGGTATATGTTACATTGTCTTGTAAGCTTTTATATAAATTAATTCAGATAATCACATTTCAGACCATTGCTCAGCAGTCGAAGCTAACAATGTATAAGTTGACAATTATATGCGTTTTACTGCAACTTGCGCAAGGTAAGGGCATTTAATGTAATTTGTAATCTTACACAATTTATTATACAATCTTATTGAATTCACTCTAAATAAATAAATATTATTAACATTCATTAAGGCTTCTAGTAGTACATAATATGTTATAAAGTTCAAAGGAACATTGGACTGATCACGTTAAGGAAGCCTTGCAACTGCATTACCCAACTTTCTGTTATTGTTCCCAATGACTGTCCTCAATACCCGCTACCAAATTTGAAAATGGCATAGCGGAAGAAAACTTCATTGCATTTACCTCCATTGCGATATATTACTGATGGCGCAACCCCATTGTTTGCAGTATATAATTCGCAAGGAGTCAAACCATACTGAGCTTCATTATCAGCGTGAAATAACTATCTCCTCAAATATTTCAGGTGCGCAATATGTTAAGGTAGCTTTGACCGAACAAGTGACTGTAGAGAGTGAGCCGTTTACAATTCCTTTCGATAAAGTGAAGCTGAAAATTGGAGGTACTTACGACAGCAGCGCACACAAAGTTGAAGTGATGCAGTCAGGAAAGTGAGTTCGACTTTATACTTTGACAGAAAAAGAATAGATGTTATACACTATTTTTATGACTAAGAAGAAGTTTTTTAATCTTTTAATTTTAGAAATTTTAGTTATATTCTTTAAATTTAATTTGATTGCTTTATATATTTAGCAAATTTTTATGAGTCAACCTTAAATGATGCCAACCTTAAATGATGCCAATGCGTCAAGCTCTGCATTAGCTGTGCACTTTTGAGAATGTTTTTATATATAAATTTTTCATATTGCAGATATTATGTCGAAAGTCATGTGGTAGTGGAAAGCGAGTATCCACCTGTTGTGGAAATCATGAAAGAAAGTGGAGACGAGCAATCCGTTGTGGCATCATGCGACGAATTAACGGATCAAAGATGTAAATTCGGTGAGCGGCTCCAACTCGAAAAGGGTGATCAAATCTACGTAAGAGTAAATTCTCATGCAGATTCACCCACTACTGTTTTGCAATCAGACACATACTTATTTGTAGCATCCATATAGTTTCACAATAAATATGTGAAAGAAAGAGATTTTCTGGATTTTTTTAAAATGGTATTTGCCAAATAAAAACACAATCAACATCGGTAGTTCGAGAGTTTTAAAATTATTCTCAATTTGACATATTTATTTTCGTTGGAATTTCCTAAAAATACACATGGCTGGGCCTCGATGTAATAGATTCGTTGTCAGTTTATAACGAAAAACAGGGCGAAATATTGCCGCCTTTGTGAACCAAGCAGGCGCAAAAAAAAAACATATTTCCTTTCATATCATTTATATTTAGCTAAATTGCCCTCGGCTATTACCAATCCTGTCAATTACACCATTTGCATGAACAAATAGCCAACGAAACTAATCTCTCCCAATGAAATATTCCAGAGCACAAGAATCGTAAAAAAACTTCGTGATACCTTTATTCAAAGCAGTTTAATAATCTTTGTGCATCCCCGCCAGAAAAATATACGTATCAATATTATTGACGATAGCATCTCTTGCTGCTTTAACTTCCAGGTATATTTTCTCGCCAGGTTTCAGTTTGGTTGTCGCCAACAACTTGCATCTATCACTGCTCACATCCTCGTCATACGTGTGACATACATCTAAGACATTCTTGCCTCCATCTTTTATTTCTACAAGCCTTACTTCAGCTTGGTGTGCGCCATTACCAGAAAGTGTTGCATGTCCTTCAATTCTATACCTAAAATAAAAACGACATAACACTGAAAATGATTAGTTCTCGCTCGAAGTGCGAACGTCTCCTTGTTGGATTTGTTACTAATCAGACAAAATATGAAAATTGTTATTCGAATAGTATGAACGCAACATTGATGTTCTAATCGAAAAGAGTGGGCAACAGGAATAGCCTCTAGCGTGTTCCAAGGCTTTTTGTGGCCAAACCAAAGAATATGACACGGAAAACAGGCTACATCTTAAAACCGTTAAAAGTCCTTGAGATCTCGCACTGTATTACACATCTTTAGTTTTGACCAAATCATATCCAAACTGACAATTATTAAATGTTCCAGATGAGTCAAGGCCGTTAACTCAGTAACATTTTCTGTATGGAAAATCGAACATATTTGTTGCTTGCCGACTTGGTCATTATCTGTTTCCTTTAATTTTAGGATATATTATTGTTGTGTGGTAGATTGTCGTGTCGGATCTGGTGTCATTAATACTGTATATTAAATAGTGTAAGAATAAGTCGTTACCTATAACATATACACGTAAATTCAATTATTATTAGTAACGCATATGACAGAAATTCAACACGGTTAAGATATTCAAATTTATTCAACTAACGTCAATATATATTAGACTACTCGAGGGATTTTAAAGCAAGCATATAACCATAATTTTTATTCTTTTCTTACATGTTGACCAAGATTTTACCAGTTGGTCCAAAGCATCAAAAAATATTTTTTGAAGATTTGCTTTATTGTCACCAACTTGTCATTTCGGTGAAAATGCATTGCATTTCAAAAGTTTTTATTTTTTTTCACAGAAATATCTGTCATATTATATATATAAGCCAGCCAAATTTTTATGAAAAAAATGTAATTTTTACAGTATACGGAGTTATTCTTTTCATTAGTTATAAAAAAGCCCTTCCGGTACAATAGATAATAAATAATTCTGACATACTGTGCATCCTTGGTGATATCAATTGTTCTGTCTTCTATATGGTAATGGTGATCACTATCAATAATTTTACGATCAAATCGAACACGAGTGGCCTCGTTGGCATTAATATGTTGATCTGTTTTCAATGCGATCTTAGTAAAATCACCTTAAAAAATAAATAATGAAATGATTACGCGAACTTATGCAAAGTCACCCATATTCAGATTGATGCTTATATCAGAATTCCCGCAATTTCAACTCAATTCAGCGGCAGCGGTCGCCCATTTTATACACATAACGGTCCCTGAAGAACACTCAACAATATTCTTTCAAATGTAACTAAATGTTGAGAATTATACGTTTTACACAATAGACTGCATTTTTAAATTCAATACGTCTTCGGCTACACTTGTTAGCCCCAACTGTCAGTTACTGTTGACCTTTGGGAGTCGTCACTGCGGTGGACGAGCAGCTTAGTGCTGCATAGAAGTCGACTATTGCGATAAATTGAATCGCTGAAACTTCTGCTGTGTACACCACTTGGTGTTATTTTAGTGTAAAATGTATAACCGCATTAAGCAGCAGTAGTAAACTAAAGTCAAGTGAAGTCGAACAGCTTAGACGTCACAGTTATTACAACAGGTCTATCCACAGCAGCAAATGCGAAATGAATCTTTCCATGGTTAAAAGGCCCAAAACGTTTTGGATTTAATTTCTTTTGTTTATTAAAACATAACCAGCCATATTTTAATCAAATCTTTCTTAGCATCAACACACTGATTTTAACGCATTTCACCAAATCAATGCTACTAAAAACTATCCATTTTCAGACATGCTCACCGTTACAAAGCTCTGGATGACATCGGCTTGGTTGTACCATTATATTCGTACTGTGCCGATTATCTTACGATCTTGCGCTATGACCACGATTGTCAACCATCGTGTTCTTCAGACAGATAAATGTCTTATTCTTTCCTTTTATTTACATGATTGACCAAAATACAAACACATCCAAAGTATGCATTTCATTGAGCGAATATATCCAAACATAAGCACTGTTACTTCATGCAAAACTGTGAAGACACTAAAATGACATTCAGACTTACCAGAACAGATTTTTATTAAAGGTAGAAATAAAAGCACAATGTAGAGTGAAGTCATTTTCGAGAAGAATTTTGTGTAAATGCAGTAGAAGAACCCAGACGCATTATATATGCCTGTAGCAACAGTTTGATTACGCATAGGCATATATCAATTATTTCCTCGTTAAATTCTGAAATCAAATATTATTTTGACATAAATTAGAATTGATTACGATTAATGTTAAAAAGTAATTCATTTCTGTATTCGCAGCTGGTAGGTCGGGTTTTCTTATTTCTAATAAAGTTTCACTGTTTGTGGGTGGTTGAGTGGGCTTATGTTAATGCTCTTAGCATCGCATTGCTGGCTTTGGTCCAAAGTTTGAGGTGTAAACAGTAGGCCGAAATAAAATCCGTTGTCATTCACATGTCAAGAATGGTTTATAACTCAAAAATATCTAACTCATCCTATTTTACCAAGTTTCACTGAACTGTATCAAAACTGTAATATTGCGGACGTTCGGAAGGACAGACAATCATGGTCTTCAATTTAAATGAGTTTTATTTTCTGGATATTTTAGATGGATATAGTGTGTTGCATGTAGTTGAACATTAGTCAAAGTTACAATTATGTCTAATGGCCTTTGACGGCATGTGCGAAACATATAATTATATTATTTTATTTTGCACCTGGTACATTATGAAAATATAGTTTTTTGACCTGGAACATTGTAAACAAAACCGGAAATCATATAAATTCTGCAATACTTATGTTTCAAAGAAATCAATAAACAGTTCAGAAATGAGAAATAATTTGTCGATTTTAAAGCTCGACTTGGTTAGAGTTCGTTTCTTATGATTTATGTTTATAAACCATATAATTTCATACAATTTTAGTAATATGTAGAAACCTGAACAATCTATGTTGTGTCGTTTTATGGAAGATCCGTGACTGCGTGAAGTCTTTCTAATGGGAGGTAACTCCATTAATCTTATGTGTCAGTCTACTGAAGTCATCGCATCCCTTTTAAAAAGAAATGTAAATATTTAGAGAAGATAGAAAACAACTCTTTCTGAGAAACGACTCTGAATTGTTTGAAGACATGCTTACAAAATTACTTGAAACGAATGTATTGACTATCGAAATTACTGTGTATACTATCTGATCTGTGTTTGGTGACAACACTGAACCGTTAACGCTTCCTGCTGTTAATAAAAAGATGCAGTGTACACTGGGGAAAATCTGCAATGGATTGTTGTATTATTAGCTTTTAGATTGTTAACTGCTGAAGGATCAATAATATGCACAGCCTGCAGCACACAGTGTTTTGGTCCAAAACTAAAGGCTGTTTTACCTCTTCGTTCTCGGAATTAAACTCATATGATTATATTACTTCAATTATTGAAGGTGTAAGAGTTTCATTAGTTTTTTTTTCGTCTTCATTAGTCCTATCAGGTGCAGAAAGAAGGGCACAAACACCGTGTCTCCTTGTTGTAGTTGTCCACCGATCTTTTTTAAGCTGTTTTTTCAGAATAAAATATGGTCAAAGATCAAATGAGCTATGACAGTTGTTTGCAATTTGAAAATACCGATCTCGTACAGTGAAAATGATTCAGCCCGTTAAGTTTTTAACCACTGTTCACAATAACTCGGTATTCAAATATTAAAAAAGGTAGTTTGAACACTAATTAGAATGATTTCTAACACTTGAAAGCTTTTAACATCTATAATCATGAAATTGGTAAAAATTGCTCGCTTCACTAACGGTAGGCCAAAGTGAGCGTATTTTAATTTGCCACGCTTTCTTTTTTTTTATTCGATTTAGTGTGAATATGCATAAATTAATAATAATACACCTGTTGTCGAAAATGACAAATTAATTATTATATACTCTTAACGAATAAATCAAATATTATTAACAGTTGATACAATTGAGTTACCTCCCTTCCTCAGTAGTATGGGCATAATAATAAAAAAGGCATATCCGTACAGAACAGGCAGTGTGTCCATTCTATATCAATAACCTGTTTGGTATGTTCCACACATTACATTGATATATTACATTGATATTCATTTACTAGAGTTCTAGATGGTTGTGATATTGTCCATTACTTACGAGTATATCTGCCCAATATTGTTTCAAATTTCCTATTGATTGTTAAGTAACAGAAATCGTGCACATTAATCATATTATGTCTGTTTTTTTTTTATCTGTTTTGCCTCATATTTAATATGAATGATAGCTCATTATGATATGGTTATTAATATATACCGTCCAAATGAACATTCACTGTATGATTTCGACTTGTCTCGGATAGGTCTCTTAAGTTTTTTGCATTTGTTGAATTCTCCTTTTCTATCCGAACTCGAGAGCTGATGCGGGTGACTAATTGTTCTCTTGTTAAGAACACTCCCACCTATTAAAATTCTAACCAATTTGTTCTCGAAAGGTCTGACGCAACAAAGTTTTAGTAATATGCCAATGTATGGATATGAAAGTTTTGTTCATGTCAACCTTGATGGATCCGGGGAGATGCAATGAAAAGCAAGTCGAACAGGGCCTAACGATTTTGCTTGTGAACTACAAAGCAATAATAACTGCGTCGCTAGCGAAGCAGGATAATGGCCTTTTTTTGGAATCACCGGATTTCACTCTACGACTGAATTTGTCAATTGTAAGCTTCCAAATAGTTAGTATTTGGCATATGTGTTCCTGTTTATATCGATGTCAATTACACACCTGAAATACAGTTATCAAAGGATAACACGAAATTATTAATTGATTTTTTTTTTATTATATCCCAGTTTAAAGAAACAATTTGCGCACACTTCATCTTAGTGCTTTTCTGACAAAAACAAGTAGGTATCGACATTGGTTAAAGTTGCATCTTTTGTGGCTTTGGCTTCCATAAATACTTTATCACCATCTTTCAAATCGTCTTCTACCTCTATCCTGCATCTGTTACCTGTAACCTTGGGATCAGATGTTTTACACTCGGCCAAACTTGTCTCTTGTCCATTTGAAAGTTTGGCTATTTTTATTGTAGCTGAATGGGCACCGGCACCAGTAAGTGAAGCATGTCCCTCAAGTTGGTATCTAAAAGAATTCTTTTTTTTAATTTTAATTTTTTATTATAATGAATACTACCAATAGTATTTTAAAGTGTCAAATTTCGAAGACGTGTGTTAGTGACTGAAATGAAAGTACGCCACTAGTGTTTTGATCATTTTACCTCAAAATGGTATGTAATAATACTCAGCTCGGGATCAGAATGGATCACATTATTTTCTATAGGTGCCGTTGGTTGAAAGTAGCAAAGGATGTTGATATCGGACTGTACAGCAAAGTCGCTACTTGTTTGAAATCGAGTTGAATTTTATATTTTGATAGCTAGTTTTATTTGAAGCTTAACAGCCTCTTGTCCAGATGATGAAAGATTAATTAAAATAATTACTCACTTAGCTGTTTTGATGACGCTAATAACCCTTTCATTTATATCGTAGTGGTGTCCATTATCATACACTTGAGAATCAAATAGCAAACGAGCTGCTTTATTTGCTGTGATTTTTTGATCTGTTACTAGATGAACCAGAGTAGTGTTACTACCTGTGACAAATAAGAAAAATTCACTATTTATAAAATTTGAAGACTGGCAAAGGAACACATTTGTAAGATACCTTACAATAAACATCATTTGACGAAATGCCGATCTTAAATCCCTCATGTTTTTCAAAAGCCTCTCGGGAAATATTTGTTAAGATCCACAATCGCTATTATAACAAGGATCATTAACCAGTGGTTGAAAATCTACGAACCCTATTTTTAAGTTAATGTTGCGTGGTGAAATGCGTTTTGTCAAAAAAAAAAGTCTCAAGATTTCATTTTGAAGGAGTCGGAAATCTAGAAAAAAATTGTTGCGAAGCTGTCATAATCTGATGAAGGTTTACTAGCATTACAGAGACCACCGACCTTAAGTGGTAAATCCGGATGGTGCAAGTAACAGCAATTGGTGTCTCCGTTAGATGGCCAATGAAGCCTCTTTTGAATCAAATCAAAGAAATCAACACCAAACATCTTCCGAGATAAGGGATTATGTCTAAAATCTAAAATACCCTAAGCAAATCTAAATTTTGAAAACTCTAAAAATCAAATTAATAAAGAATATTTATATAACTTACCATACGCTATCTGAATAAATACCAATGAGACAACTGCAGTAAGAAATGGACTCATTTTGTCGGGTTACAGATTCACTGTGATTATGGCAATGATACAGGAATGTAAATGAATGGAAATTAAAAATGATCGTAAATAAAAGGACATAAGCAATAAATATAAATCAAAAGGTGCGTTATTTGTGACGTTTCTTAAAATTTCATGATCAATGGCACTGTTTACATTTCAATGATAAATTAGATTGATTTTTATTATGGAGTTGAATTCGAAGAATAACCTAAGTCAACAGATGACCCGCATCGATTACCTGTTCTTTGTTATTACCTTCCTTAGTAGGCTAAATAAGCAATGTGGGTGAAAAAGTTATTCAAATTACTTAAGAGAATAATATAGGTTAATAGGGAATTTGGTTTTAATTATTCAGAGCTTTTGGTAAACAGGTGTTGTTTAAGATTATGAAATGACAATGTTCATATACCATGGCGTGGATATATTAACCTATGTCTATATCACTATATTATTCTATACAGAAAGAAAATTTTTAGTCTTCCGCCTTTTTTCTTATTTTAGTAGATTTAAATCTTATCTGATTTTTCTTAAATATCCCATTTTTTTTTTCATATTTAAGAATATAAATATTGTACACAATTATTGTCACCGTAAGATCGTAAATGGTCGCAGTCCGGTGTGAATGGACTTCATTTACCACACGGTCCCTTAAGAAATATCGTGTCCACACAGCTTGCAGTTGGTGACCAGATAGCGGTAGACAATTCTTGATCTCAAATGCTTGTTTATTTTGAACACAAAACTAAGTGTGCAAACTATTTGTAAAATAAAATAGCTGAAAAACAGCTCACACTTAATCGCATGATAGAACAAAATATTTCCAGCCTTGCTGGATTACAACCAAACCCATTGCAATAACATCTACCTGAAATTCGTATGTTGATAGTGAAGAATAAATATTACATTAAATTCCACTACTAACTATCTACTTGACTTACTCCAAGTTTTTCCCTTTTGGAGAAATACCATACCGCTGCCATACCTCTGAAAATTTAACACAGGGATACAGCTAGAATTTTTTTCTAGTTTACCTTTATCCATAATTTAGTTTGTTAATGGTAAAGTGGTATATTCTATAATTATTGACAACGAATAGCACTTTTAATGAGGAATATAATATGTAGAATAGCATTTCTCAAATTAATCATGTAAAATATTCCCCTCGCTGTTGTACGCTGAACACAGTGCACGGTGTTTCGAAATTCCGATAACATTTCGTCACTGCGACCAATAAAATCCGAACGCTGTTTGAGTGAAAAGTGAACTTTTACAGAGTTCAAGTCCCGTTTCTGGTTCTAAAAGATAATAAAGACATCATAGAATTACCTTCTTTTTGAGAATTATTACGCACCGAACATCTGATTTATGGCAGACGTAAATCAAGTTATTTATAAATTTCTCTCGACTGCTATGCCAGAATAACGGTGACGATATAACTTAAGTCAAAAAAATTATATTGTATGCAGGGCGTTAACAAAGAGCAATGATAACGCTATTTTACATATATTTAAAAAATGAAGAGTGATCCGATATCTAGAGAATTTCACTTATTTATATTCTAATTTCCATTTTGTTTTCATCGCTACACCAAAGGTTACGCTATACAATTTTCTAATGTATTAACATAAAGTAACAGTATTTTTAAGCGAAATTGAATATGTTTTCTTTTGTATTGTAGTCTATAGAAACAAGTTGAGCCCAAAGTCGTTTTCAACGCCGCTCAGGCGAAAAGAAACTTTGATGAGGAAAAAATTCTTTCTTTTCACATAGTATTGAAAATGTAGGGATGTCATAATTTCAATGACTCAAATTTTTTAATGAATACATCCTGAATTTCCCCGTTATATTATTTGCTCTGCTTTGACGATCTTAAATGATTTAACTGAGTTTTTTTTTCGAAGATTATTTACTTATTTTATTTGTTCCGCAAGAACAATTTTGTGAGAAATATGTGTATACAAATCTTAACAAAATAATTATTATAATTCTGTACGTGCGGAATTTCAATGAAAGGAAAGTAGAAGCAGCATAGCAAGTAAAGAGCGGTCAAGTCGACCTTACAATTGTGATAACCTAAGAGCAACCGGATTTCCAACAACAAATGGTATATCAGAGAATATGCATGTCGGGCGTCCGTCCAAACAATCGGTATGCGAAATTCCAGTTGAGCGCAATTGGTGCGAGTATACCAATTTCTTGATGTGTCGCACATGTTGACTGCGACGGATTCGATAATAGGGCTTAACTCGCCGATCGACCGTACCACCCTCCTTAGTTATGTCAATTTTAATACGATATGAAGTTTTATTTTTAAATGATGTTCGTAAGAAATGGACTTTCACAATTTGCAAGAATTAGAATGCAGGTTCCTTGAAACCATTCTACCAGTTAGTCATTGCATAAACCTCGGCGATGAGACTTTCCGTTTATTCGTAGCAAAACATCCACGAAACCCAACACAAAACAATACGATGTCATGCGCTGTAACCAAATTTCATTTATAGAATTTTGAATGGGATGATATTGACAATGTCATGAAGTTTTACGCCCCCTTTTTAGAACCCAGATGGGTCATGGAGTGTGGTATTTGCCTGCATTTTTCGTTAAGATAGAGCTCACTCTACCACATGTAATAAACATTAGCCTGTCTAACTTACTCTTTTAGTTTATGAAGTCCACCTGTATGGTGGGTAGTGTGCGGCGCTACTTCATATATTCCCACTGTATCCATAATCGCGCACTTTTGCCTCAGCGGTATACCGTTCTCCGGGTGCAATTATATGTGTGAAAACGAAATTTTTAAATGTTGCATCCTGCATTCACCCATATCAAGGTTAATACCTAAATAGAGACTACACCCGTTAGTTCATTCTCTATTATGAAACACCTGCGATTGTTCGAAGGTATTGACTCGGTTCTGGTGGTAAATTTAAAAGAAATCTTATTTTTTGAATTTTTAATTTGTCTTACGAGTCTCGCACTACATTCTTTTGACACATCCAAGAGACAAATGTCATAAAGCGAAATAAAATATATTAAAATTGTCGAGCCGCAGTTATTCACATACAATGACTACAAAAGAGTTATCAAATTCAACTATAATGCACAAATACTTGTTTTTTTTAATAACATTGGACGAGATAGTCGACACGAACATTCGATTTTTATCTTTTTTTAAATAAAGCTAGAGGGAAATGAAGATGTAGGGAGACATGAGACATGGAAGGAGCTCTAAAATTGTTGTGAGGTAAAATGGTTAAAAGAAATCTATTTAATGAAAAGACAAAACCCGAGTTTGGTGGAGAGGAAAAATTGAGCGAAATATGTTGAGAGGAAAAGTTTACTTGAAATTGGATATGATAATAAAATATATGTGTTTTCAGTCTCTTTTTCCGTCATGCCTCAATTCCCATCCCTTTAAAAGGCCCTCATCCGAAAAAGACCCCATATTAGACTTTCTCCGCTATACACAGTAAAATTAATCTGCAACATTCTTTCAAAACGTATCACTTCTTATCCTGCTTTCATTCTATTGACAAAGTTTGGAAAAAAAAGTTTGAAAGAATACATCCTTATACAGAAAGCTTTCTCTTGCGTTACGATTTCATTTTGTTTAATATCTTCTGATGTGGAACGGAAAAAACAGAAACTTATGGGTGTGAATTAAAAGATTGGGCGCTTTATTTTTACCGTTAGTTGATGTTAATGTAGCGGTTAAATTGTATGACTTTTGTAAGTAGCTTTGCGGAGCATGTGCAGCCCCATCAACATCAGGATGACATTACGGATTTAATGGCGGCTCGGATTCTAGAACTTCATCAGTAGTATCTTGACAGTGCAAGATAAATACAAAATCGGATATTTTTGTAAAGACAATTATTATGTGATTTGTGGTGAATGGCTGGAAATTTATTTAAATTAAAATGCCAAAGTCTTATATGATTAAGAGATACCGAAAGAAGGGAGGATCTAATACTGAAGCTAAAAATGTTCAAAATCGTAACATCCAGGACTTGTCAACAGGTAAGACATAAAAATAGTAACAAAATGAGCAATTATGATGTCAGCTGTATTATTATAAACCGAATTGTCAAATTGTTTTTTTTATTAAACATGTGTTTTAAACTTAAATTTTACGGATATCTCATCCACCGACAGAGTGACAACCGTTGTCGTTGATGTCCTGAATCATCACAGTAAGGGGGAATCTATCTGATATTGAAACCCTCAATAACTTGGGAAGGAAAACCCCTTACGTGCATTTGATATTTAAGGAAGGAAAATTTGTCTGTCCCTAAACAAAATGCTTTATGAACTTGGTTATGATGCAGTTTGCATGTAGAATTCTCTGACCATTGTTCCATTTGCAGTTCTTTATGAGCTTTGTCTGATATATAATTAATTATATCTGCAGAAATATTCTCTTCCAATACCAAATGGCTGAGAAAAAAAAGGGATATAAACACGCTCTACTTACGCATCAAAGTATGTTATGTTTGAAATTTATGCAAGATAATTCAGTTGAATTCAGATTTTTTTTTCTTTTAACAAAAAAGTCCTAAAAACATCACAATGGGCAAATCAGGAAATTATTGCCACAGGTTTTAATTAGAATTTTGAGAATGTCATTTAACACAGTTCAGGGCTTAACACTATTTTTCTATGGAAAAGTTCCATGAAATTAACAATGAAGTTATGGTATTATGGTATTCAATTGCGACATTTAGTAACTGAACATGTTCTTAAATTTTTTTAACTCATGTGATATTTTAGTTGTTTATATGTTTTCGTATGATTGTAAAACTGTTATCATTAAGGTAAATATCGACCATCAGTGTGATTTTTCACACATTGATCTTGGAAAATTAAAATAGGAAACTGAATCTGTATCTATTACAGTGACCTGTACAATGAAATGGGGAAATCGGATTGAAAACTTTTAAGGTATTATTTCGATCTATGGCGGGACCTTCAGTAACCAACTTATCTGTGTCATATACACGAGAACATAATATTAATATTCCCGAGGCAATAACTGTAAGTTTTCAAACGATTGGGTCGATGGAGTGCGATAAAAGAAATATCAATCTGATGTTAAGTTATTGTACCGTCTAGAAAACCATTATATATATAATTATCATATAACGTTACTCTTACTTTATTACCCAGCGTTTACTTTTCTATAGTCATGAACACATTATCTACTTCACTAAACTGGGGCTCTACATCTGAGACTTGTTTGGATTAATATTATCGAGTAATTTCTACCTGATATTCGCTTCTCAAAGGTTGGCCATGAAAAATGCACCCACGTAGTGATCTGAAATCTCCGAAACAATGTGACTGCAAGGCTAGAGTGGTTACCCGTTCATAGACAAAATGAGGTTCACTATCATTAGATTTCATTTGTGCTTTTTGAATGTGAGCAAAACTTGGGGTAGTCAGCTCATTTTGTGTGAAACTGAAAATGCTCAGAGTACTGATAACTGAGTGAACTCAAAATCCACCCTACCGGATGCATATGAGCACTTGATAGCGGTTGGCGAGGTCGGTTAAAACTTAGCGAATGATCAGTTTTTCCACGATGCCGCCAGTCGTTTTATGTTTACTTTTCCGATCCGTCAATAGCAAGGTCGATCTCTATTTGTCGATATTTGCCATCAAATTATCCAACATGATTTCCCTTGAAAGACGAGAATGGAAAGTTTGAGAGTGAACGCGAATAAGCGTTTTTATAACGAAATCTTTTTCATTAAATTTAGTATCACATGGCCCAGGTATTAATAAGAAGTACAGGCTCGCGCATGAGTTCTTAGTTGTCATAAACCCCTGAAATATTCTGTTTTAAATTCCCAAAAGTTCATAAAGAAATCTTGTTGAGAACATTTCTTAGTAAGGTTGTTTAAATGACTTTTAAAAATGTTATGAAAGCACAGGATATCATAATAATAGATAACAAAATGATATGACAATAGGATATGTAAGTAATACGAAACCGCCTTCCTGTCTTCAGTTTTATTTATTGTAAACATCTCAGTAAGAAACGCCAGATTTCCGGTGTTCGGATATCTATCCCCAACGAAATACGTTTTTAACCACAAATGGGATTATTGAGGTACTAGAGCGAAACCATCTTCTCACAATAATGTCTTATTTTTCATTCATAAATTTGATAAACCGTTATAAAGACTGTTATTTTATATGCTCTATTGTAGAGCACTGAAGGTTATTTACTTAAAGGGATTTGTTGAGCGCAGTGGACACTTACCAATGCCTCTGGATCCCGTCATTTGGTTTGATATTGTATATATATGGTTCATGAACGCAGTGTGATTCTACTGCACCTGCTTTTTACATCATCAAAAGGCGGCTCTAGATAGTGCTAATAGTTTTTAAATAGGTTGGCCCTGGTAACAAAAAAAAAGAATCATTTATTAACATTTCATCATTTGAAACGTGTTTTACAGTTGTCCTTTTCAGCCAAAATTAATTTGTATGTTTTAGGAAGAAAGATGTTTTTTTTTTAAATTTCGACAAACCGAATAATTATTTATTCTGCCAATCTGGATTAATTTCAGAATTTTTCTTTTTCTGCAGATAAAAGTCAAGACGACATTTCTTCATTCTCAAATCAAGAGCAACTTAATGATCCGAATTTACAGTTCAAACTCGAAGAAAAATGCACCAAACAAGATCTTTCATCGGTAACCAGAATACAACAAAGGTCGACCGAAAATTATACAGAGACAATTCCTGTATTTGGAAAAGGTATCACCAACTCTGCATTGGACAACCAACACCAAACGGTGTCATCGCATGGAGCATCTTTCACACAAGACCATTGTAGCCAACATAGCATACTGTCAGGATTTAGCAATATGTTTCACCATACACATATTGCGCCTCTCTATTTTAAGCCATCCAGTGACGGTGTTATTGCTTGTGGTATACCTGATAACATATCACCAAAATCAGCAACGTCAGCCAAAGAGAGTCCGACATTCCCAACTGATGCGATTGTACCCACTCAATGGAGTCCTCATTCTTACCAACTAACGCCTAAAGCAGATATATTTAATTTTGACCCGAAATTTCCTCTGAAATCTTCAGATCACATTTCGTCTTTCAAGACTGAAGAATGTCATAAGTGCAATGGGCGCCAGTTTGCGGTTTCGGCAAAATATATTCCGGAACATATACCAGTTTTTCCAACAGATAAAAGCGTTATAGGACAGAATTCCAGTACCCTATTTGATAGATACAGCCCAAAATATTTCCATGGTAATACCAGTGCAGTAATTAAAGAAAAAGACCCTATAGGACAATTTCCTACCGACAAAGCATTTGCATTTTCTCTACAGAAAAACTTACCTGGGATAAACAACCCATTTAACATGTTTTGTAACATTCCTATGTACAAGTCAAACGCCGAAGTCGAACTAAGTGCAATTCGTAAACCAAGCTCCATACCTTCTAAGGTAAGAGACTTCGTTTTATTTCTGAAAAAGTGGCCTATGAGTGACATACACTATTGTGTTATTAGTCATCATCAAATGATTCCACCTTCGGTATGCCAAGTGGATAATAGATGTCGTCATAGTACTCTCAATCAATTACTATTTATTGGCCATAATACTTATAAACCAAACAATACCATTATTGATAAATGAGGCGTGACACCTCATATTGACTCTACTGAAGGACAATTTAGCTGTGTTTTTCTGTAGTTCACTCCAAATACCACTAATGATCTAACGAAATTTGCATGCATATCGTACGATGGATCATATAATAACCAATCAAATAATCAATAAAGAAAAATAATTCAACGAAACACATTGTTTACCTTACCTCGTATTGTCTACCAAAGATTTACGTTGTTTTTGTAAGAATCAATAAGAAAACGTCATATGCTACTAGGTCAAAATTCAACAGTACAAGAAGTAATAATGCCAGATCATAATGGCAAATATAACTGCGCAAGCAATGCATGCACAGAACCGGTCTGTAAATTTCTTTCAATTTCAGAGTATTGAATTAGTAAATGGTGGATTTGGATTGACAAACCCTGCTCTGGCACCACTTGTTATTAATGATGATACGGTTAAAGGTAGGCATATGCTTGTGATCCTTGCATTCAATAATATTATAAGCTCTCGATATTGTCTTGTAAAAGAATCAAACTCATTAATGCTAACCGACTCATCTCTTTCCCATTGCGTTCATTGAAAAAAGGACCCTGTGTACTGTTTTAGCTTTAATAAATTTAAGAGAGATATAACTACGATTATCACGACATGTGCCATCTCATCTCCCCATTCATTTACAAAAAACCCATTCTGTATCCCTAAAAACTGGATAGACAAATTAAACATTTAAATTTAAACATGTTCATTTCAGCCAAGCAATCAAATCAGATATGTGCCTGCCAGGTGTGTGGTCTCATATTTCACAAACCCAAACTTCTTACAAGGCATATAAAGAAAATGCATGACAAAATTAAGAAGTATTTGTGCCGTTTTTGTCCTAAAGGATTTAACGATAAATTTGATCTGAAGAGGCATACAAGAATTCATACAGGTACTTGATTTTCTTTACGAAATATTACAATCAACACATCGAAGGACACTCGCACCATGGTGTGCATCTAGCAAACAGATTGTACACGAAAGCTGTGTAAAACACCATTGGTTTTTAGTAGTATAAATAGAACGAATGTGTAAAACACCATTGGTTTTTAGTAGTATAAATAGAACGAATGTCTTCCCCGCTATCTTTCAAGGGAGTAAATTACTTGCTAAGAATCCTCTATGAATGTCTAAAATATTCCTTTCCTTTCAGGTATCAAGCCTTTTAAATGTCATAATTGTGGAAAAGGATTTTCACAAAGATGTTCTTTAGAAGCACATGAAAGGAAGGTTCATTCACAAGAGGTTAGATTCGAACCTAAACAAAGACGAGACAAAATGCATATTTGCGAGGAGTGTGGTAGCACAACCAAAGATCCGGACATGCACTATTTTCACATTAAACAAAATCATCCAAATAGTTCATTGCTATCCAAATTCCACGATAAAAGACAGTTTAAATCCACCATTACCAGAACCGACGGGGCTTCTGTCAGAGCTACCAACTCCAATGAGTATACGGGAAAGGCTTAATACAAACGTATGTGGCAAAGCGTGGAAATCAGTAATGTGATTGACTATAAAGCCGATAAATAACAAAATCTATAACATTTCTGATGTCCTATTGTGTGGAAGAAAAATTTCAAACAGTAGAGGGTGTCATCCAATAAATTTGTGCACAAATATGTACCGGATCATATTATGTTATATACCAGCCACATCACACCGCTTACATTTTAATCTGTATAGTGACGTCATAATGTCGAATATTTATTTCCGTACCATAACATGTCTACCCCTATGAGCTAACGACTTTGGTCGAAAGTTATTTCGAAAGCTTTTTTTTAACCCTGGGCATTTATTAAGCTTACTATTCATTTAAAGCGATCGTTTTCAATCTGTTTCTGTATATACCCCTAAGTTGTATTTTGCATAGATACAAAGTCTCCACCAAAGAGAATATTAGCAAAGGCTGTGATTATGAGATGTTGTATATATTGTAGTTGTTTTTTCATGGCCTGATGTCACCACTGAGGGACATGTTCGTGTGGTTAAAAACGCTTTAGAGTTTGGTAAAATTATACCACCCACGCACTTATTAAGTTTGCAAGAAAATGTTTGTTATGGTTGTATTTTGTCTTGGTTACTCGTGAAAGTAGGCGACGATTGATTTATGAAGAATTAATAATTTAATTTGGTACTTTGAATCCTCTTGTGAATGCATAATAGCCTCAACGCATATATGATAATTGACTTGGGATTGAATTTTTTGTAATTCACAGGTGATATAGACAAGGGGTTAATTTTTTTTTTTGGCGGGGGAGGGAGTCCAGTATAAATTTATGAACATTTATAATTTCAGTCGTTCTAATCAATCCAAGACTATTTTCGAAATTAAAAAGATTGCAGGGAAAACAGAATCATGATGTTAAAAGAATCATGAAAAAGTAAGGATTTAAAGTTGGAAGTTGGGTAATGCAATCGATCAAGGATCCTTAAATGGCTGATATAAACAGTCCTATGGGCATTTGATCGAAATTTCTATTATATGTTGCAATTGCCTTACAATATTGCGATTATGGGTATCCAGCTTTAACTGGGTCAATAGTACATTAACCAACAATAAATTAACCGTTATGTTATACAGTTAGGATTTATGAATGAGTGAACATTTTTATTTTGTACAATATATTAATACACAAATAAAAAAAAATAGGGATATATGGTCTACTAATTGCTTTGGACAACATAAATTCAAGCTTAATACGTCGACATGTTATTAAGATGTATCAAGCAAATTAATTTTACCAAGTTGGACATAGCTAATCATAAAAAAATTCAAGGTTACAATTTACTGTCACGGGAAACATTACAACATAACAAAACAAAATATTTTCACCGTTTAAAATGTTGCTCATTACATAAATTGTAGAGCTATCTCAAGACTCTTGTCTAAGTCAAAATTCGCCGACCAATACCGTTCATTCTTATATGGCTGCGAACGGTAGGCGAACTATGGCTTTATATGGTAAAAAGCCAGACAAAAATTGTTAATTATTTTTCGAATTCTCATAAAGTTAATATGGATTTCTAAATGAGCCAAAGAAGTGCAAAAAATTCTATATACATATTTTTCCGATCTTACTTTTACTTTTACAGCTTTTTGCATCCATTGATATCAGAACAGGGTTCTCAAACTAGAGCTCGAGGTATCTACAGGGCAACTTATATAGGAAACAGGGATATACTTTCCTAAATTGGATTCCAGAATTACGAGCAAAGTAACTCAGTATACTCAATCGAAGAATGAAAAACAGGAATGATTTTTTAAAAAAAAACAACTATTCATCATGCCCTTACGCAATTAGGAGAATCCTAGAACTTTCCGTGAGAGTATGTAATACTTTGAAGATCAGCAAGAAATGTCCAAACAATGTAGGAAAAGCAAAAAAAATAATTTACGCACTCGATTTACAGCTCACAAATTAGATATTAATTAAAGAAAGACTAGACTATATAATCATTTGATCAACCACTCGATAAGACTGAATATTCACGAATGGTAATGCAACCATCACCCTTTGTATTCCCGTTCAATACCGCCAGTAATCGAGCAAGCAAGATAGTCCGTTCCGATTAGGAGAGTCTAGAATTCCCCCCATCTTTAAAAACAAAGGATGGTAGTCGCATATTCGAACTGAAAACCTTGTTTGCTAAAAATCAATCCTCAGAGAACAAGTAAACCAATGGGCGGGTTATTATTTTTTGACAAATGAAACTACCATGCCCATCAAGACTAGTTGCTGGTCTAAATGAAGTGTTTGTGCCATCCTAGGCCTTGATAGTTGGGGGAATCAAACCGTCCCTTCCCAGAAATGCAATGGTAATACCAGTAAAGGGTAGCTCGCAAGAAAAATTATCCCTAACTAGTAATAGTACATTCCTTTTTCTGACTCGATTTGTAGTTTGAAGCTTTAAACTTGGATTTTATCAACTGCCTTGCCCGCGCATTGACACTGAATGATATAAAGATAAATACACCTTGAAGTCCATTTAAAACTATGTAGACAAACCAAAGTCCACGGTTGTTCACGACTGAAGCTATAAATCCAAACACCCAGGAGAGTCCCATGACTGAGGTGAGTTTGATATAGATAATGCATATGTTTCGATTCCGGGCTTTACCCGTAACCTTTGTGGTACTGCTTATGGTTTTCTCGATAAAATATAAGGTAAGGCTAAAGAAAATAATGTTCAGAAGAACCGACTGGAACAAAGAAAGCGTATATATACGATGACTGATTTGCAAACCAACCGCATGTGGCCTGACCATACCCACTATGTATGTGTTCACCAGGAATCATATCAGGAGTGAAAAATACACTTACAGTTATTAAAGGGATTGTCAAACAAACCAGAGTGTATTTCCTGAAAACTTTACCATCATGCCAACCTGTCGCCTTTGATTGAGTTTTGGGGTGAAATGTGACAAACATATTTACAGCTTGAGATGTCATCCAAGCAAACGCAGACAACCAGCTAAAATGGGTTACAAAGGCTATACCTTGACAAAATTCCACACTAATTCTTGGCATATGTAATCCAATTTGTCCTAATATCATAGAAACTGATAATCCGGTTGTTATCTTTGACGATAGGTTTCTTAGTTCTGAAAACAATGCAAACAGAACAATTGTTGCAAGTTGGAAAGTAACGCTTATCAAAGAGCAAGTCCAAGAAAAATAGGAAAGCGTCTCGTCATAATTTAAAAAAGGCTTAAAAGAAGTGGACACAGCATTGAAACAAACTAAAGCTGTTCCATTACTATCAATACTATAAGAAGAATTGGCCACTTTTATTCCACTTGAAAGCATTTCAAGTGTTCCATCCATGAAGTTGACTGTGTACTCATTCGCAATGAATTTGTAAAGTTTTGTTGAACAGTCTAGGTCAAGCCTTACAGACAATGGTTCACACAAACACACCGACGATAATTCCATATTTGGATTAACCATTTTTATTTCAAAGTACGTATTTTCTAGTGCAACAAAGAAAGTTTTGTTATTAGATATGAAACGAGCAAAAAGTGTGTCTTTTTGAAATTCTTGTTCTGCCTTATCCATGCATCTTAATGCATACGACTCTTTCGGACAAGATATATTTTCTTTTAACACATTATTTTTCACACGAAGCTCCATCGTTACACCTTCCTCTACATCAAGTGAAATACCAGAGAGAATCTTTAAAAAAATTTCTAGGAACGATTCGGTTAAGTTAAATTCAATTTGTATTGTTTGGAATTCCCAGGAGCTAGCAAAATAACTTATGTTTCTGATCCACTGAATGGGATACACATCTTTTATCTTCTCTTTGATTTTATTAATATATTCCGTATTGCTAAAAATTGCTAAAGTTGTACTTATATTCAGCGTCAGTGAATATTTCGGTATCGGAAAAGGTTGTGTATCAGCTCTTAGATACCTTGTCAAATTAGTTCGACATTGACTTAGTTTTGGAAAATAGTTAGGAGGACAAATAAACTGGCGACATGTAAAGAAATATTGATCGAAATTTTCATCTTCCTTGCAAACCAAACTTTCTTTCTTCACTTGACCATTAATTTTAATTTTACGCACCTCTTCAGCTGGAAATCGGAAAAGGGTTGTAAGGTCAGTTCCAATATCGGTATGCCTTGAACACTGTTCCCCAAACTCCTGCAGATCATTATCAGTAAAATCCACAATAAGACACGCTTCTGTATCATTTAATTTGCAACCCGGCCACTCTGTATTTCGAGTATTTCTCTTTATAGTGTAGAAATTGCAGATATGCAACCTGGTTGTTGGTGGGTCATATTGTACTCGACAAGTATCGTTACCGTGAAAAGAAGTGTTTATACCAAAACATTTCGAATTACCATACCAGGAATTTAAATGAGCCATTAAATCTTCATTTATACCATGACATTGGGCACAAAATATATTCCTGAAAGTGATTGTAAGAACTCCATTAAAATCAACTGGGGGAATCGAATTACTTTGAGCTTCGCATTTGTTTCTTACGGCAATGCTTCCAGTGAAATGTGATGGACATGTTTGTATTACTGGGATTGTCTTACCAATGCTTTCCATAAGACTACACGTTGCCCACTTGCCTATAAACCTTATTGCTGGCGCTAAACTTCTGTTATCAGCGTTCACAATGTCTATAAGTGATACATTATGCCAAGTAAAGTCCATTAAATCATCAACGCAATAATTAAGTCCCCTTATGCCATAGCCGCTACAGTTGCAATAGGTATCGGTATCGGCATCTACAAATTTATAAAAAACAAAATAAAACCCCTAGAAATATATATGACACTGTGTCCTAGCCAAATGCAATGAAATAACATGGAGTTTTACGTCCTATTTTCTGCATCTGTTTATGCTAATGAAGACGGGCAAACGCCGTGTAATGAGGGAAATTTTGTCAGGTCAGCGACTAGCCGATGTCCAACTGGCGAGGGATCTTTAACGTGCAAAGGCCTGTAGCAATCGGGGCCTCGGTCCATTGTCCACTCCAAGATGACAGATGGAAACTGAATTGACCTTGCTCAGAATACTGCGCCGAAATTTTAGCCATCTTAGCTATGTGTATCAATAATTTTTCGTGTTTGAAAATTACATTGACGACTCGCCTTTTTAAAGACTCGGGAACCCAGACAGATGATTAACTAGCGTAAGTAAAAGGTGAAAGTCCATGTTTGAGGTACATTTGAAGGGATTATGCGACTTTTTTACAATTCTATAGCTTCTGGAGACAATGTACATCTTACATTCAAGGCCCAAATCAACCATTTAAAAACGATTTTCACACCATATAATTATGTTTTAGAAGTGTGCAAATTTTCTGACTTAACTTATTATATATATGACCGACATCCGATCATTCTCGGATGTGACCTTTAAAATTCTTCAATTTACTTACCAACCATAACTATCACCAACATCATGGAAGTCCAAAACAAAACTTTTGCTATGTCTTTAGCCATCGTAATGATAAATCCAAGTGAAGTTGTTCAGTTTTATGATTTTTAAGTCCAATTAGAAGATTGCAGTGTAATTACTAAGGAGACATTAATGTTTCATAAAATTAAAGATAATTTGCCAGACAATTTAATATACGCCCACTTGCAGCTTTGTTAAATAAGAACTTTGGCGCAACGGTAGCTATCATCAGTATGAAATATTAACCTAAAATCACTTCTTTTGATCATTATTGGTTTTTAATTAAAAAAATCAAAAAAATCTGGAGATACGAATTTTGAACTCCGGAGTCAACCCGGGTTAGTATGTCCGCGGATCCAACTCGTGTAAACGGGCCTATAGAAGGGTTTACTGAAACATTTTACAGTCGCTATGTTTTTGTTGGTGTTGGAAAACTAATGTACGTTTCAACCAAAATTATTGAGCATTTATAAGGCTCAACACCAAAATGCCAGTTTTTATTTAAACACTTGTGACACATAGATTTTGGAAAAATATTAGAACTTAACATTGAAATCCCCTTTTCAAGTATAAGTTAACATCGTTGCCTTAATTATTCCCTATTGTACACCTAGCATTGTTCGTCGTCGTAGACCAATTAGGTGCAGAACAGAATGACGTAAAAATACTTATCATTATCATTTCACGATTACACCGTTGTATGTGGTATGCCTATTTTTAATAGCGAATTTCAAAAGAGCTGTATTGAAATATTTAAATAGAAAGTTTTAATTTTTCATGAGGGGATTGAACCTTCACTAAAGATAAGAATTTTATATTTGCATCCTACATATACATAGCTTTTAAGGGAATTAGAACGATGCATTTTTCATTAAAATTATCGTTGCAATTTAATATAAATAATGAAAGTTTAATTCTGAGACAAACCCATTAATTTATCTGTTGTGAATTTCTCAAAAATTATTGGCAGTTGTCCAAATACTTGCTTTATTAATCTGCCTTAGAGTCATAGAATCCAAAAAGAAAAGTAGATCTTTAACGTCATATAGCGCCTAATACGACTTGACTTCCGGTTTAGGCGGTTTCTTCCAGTTTCTATATAGCTCTCTAACAACAATAAATTCGAAAATACAGGCTCGTCAGTCACACTTCACCGGTAAACCAAGCTTACTAAAACTCATCCTAACAGTCAAACAGACCTACATGAATAATGATAAACCTTACATTATTGACAATCACAATATTATATCATGTGTCAAAAATATAACAGTGTCTATTTGATGAAATTTGCACACACTTTTGGGCCTTAGAATCATATCATCGATATTTTACTTTCATAGCGTTTTGTGGGAATAGAATGTAGCTATGCCCCAGGTTTAAAAATATGATTTAAAGTGTTGGTATGTCAGCTTCATTAAACACATTACCTATCGACGAGATAATGCCTTTGGAATTTTCAACCCAGTTTCCGCTAGTCACTGATGCAGGTAAGAGGGGCTGACATGAAAAAAGCGTAAAGTCGTTCGGATAGGACAATAAACCGAAGCCCCGTGTGCTACAGACTGTGCACGTTAAAAATCCCTCGACGATTGGAAATAAAAAAAGAGGCAAATGCCGCTCATTACACACTACATAGGATTGCCCGTCTTCATTAACCGAATTAGGTGTAGAAGGGTAGTACGCATTTCATTTAATTTCATTTGTGACGGGTGTTCCGTTACTCTAGGCGTTTTAATGGGACAATACACCTGGGCTATAGGCTGTGTTCTTGACCAAAGGAAATCGAAAAATAGTATTCTAATGACGGTATTCTAAAGAAATGTTTCTAAGTGTCGCCCGTCTTCTTCAGACCCATGTGCAAAATATTAGGACGTCAGATTCATTCGATTTCATTTGGAAACGTGACGGTAAATGCACCATGCCATGATAAGCTTGAAATAAAAAAAAAATGGATAAGATTTTCCAACTATAATATCATTACAACATATTAACACATAGTTTATTGCCAAATGTTAGAAAGTACAGATTAATTTAAGACACGCACCATAACATGGACGCTTCTCATCATTTCATTCAATAGCTATTAATTTACTATGGACCGGCACGATATTTTACCACTGTAAACCTCAAAAAGCGATAGTCTGAAATTCGGCAGCTTGTTACTAATAACAAAGTTATTGCAATTCCAATCGTATCAAAATTCCTTCACAGATAATGGAATGTAAAAGTATAATGTTTACAACAGAAGTTTAACAAGTTCTATTTAACAGCTGATTTGGTTCCCGGATCCTGAAAAAAAATTGACAAAATGATAAACCTTATATAATTGACGTAGGCCTACACAATATGGTATCATGGGGACAATAAGACAGAGACAAGCTTTGGAGAATATGCCAGCCATATTTAACAAACATAATGGTGTTGACACCTCAACTGAGAAAATATGACAGCACGTAACTGAATGGTTGGATTAAGTCGAATTGAGTACATCGACGACTACAAAATTCCAACCGTTCAATTGATTACAATTAAGTTGCTATTACTTTAAGTGGGAACATTTTTTTGATGTCAGCTTCAGAATTTGAATACGGTAAATGAATCGTCAGTCATCCTGGGCACACTTTAGTAACCATTCATTCATGCTTATTGCCAAAGATTCACTTTCTAATCAATCCAAGTCTAAGGCCAGACCCAGTTTAGTAGAAGGTCGAATTGGTGTTCCTTAATAGATCTTGATTTAACGTTACTGTAAATATCACAGTTATCTCCCTTTTATTACATTATAAGGATCTATCCATTTCGTGTAAGATATAATGAAAAGACAGAGACAAAATATCTTCTATGCTTGAAATGAAGCAACGATTGACCTTTTAATTATCCTAATAATTGATAGTTGCCATGGCGTTGAGCCAATGATACACAACTTTTCTTACTAAATTGTACTTAAATAATACACACTAGAACAAAATCAGATTATTAAGTGTCTCCATGTGGGGACAAAAATAAATTTTTTAAATCGTAAAATCAACATTGTTCTTATGTGAATTTATAAATTTAATGGGCTTCCAAACTTTGAAGATGCAAGGGTTTATTCATTTTCACCTCTTTAGTTTTTTCTTCTTGTGATTTCATTTCTTCATACCGATCTTTAGCATCTCTCAATGGCTTCACCATCACATCTTCTATTTGAGGAAATAACTACAATAAAATATAGGACTTTTAGATGAAGATTTTTTGATAAAATTAGAAATGGTTATCTACCACTTATACTGTTGTTCCTGAATTAATTTTCTGCTAATTGAAGTTGTCTAAACAAAAAAAAAAACAGGTGCTACAATCCGAACCTCAAAATGTATGTAGAAATGTCGACTTAAAAATATATACATACGTTAGCAGCCGTTTCAAACATAGGGATGAGGACGAATTTAATAAAACCTATTTGTGCAGTAGGCTTCGTGACTTTTTCTCTGTCCATAAAGGGTGCCACTGGCAAACCCTCGCTCTTCTCTCTATCGGACTGAAATAAGTTTAAAAATGCAATACAATAAAATAAAACTTGCCTACAAAAACAAGAAATATTGAAGATCAAACTCCATAATTATGGTTATTATGGGAAGTCAATATATATGGGCTTTCTATTGATGTTACCAGAGAGGGTAAACCTTGTTTTATACACTTTATATGTTTGTAAATTTTTCAAAAACATTCAAGCTGAATGCAAAACTTTCGTATCGTGTTTTTTCTGCAGGTTACTACAGTTGACATTCGTGATCTGAAGAGAGTTTTCCTTATATAGTGTTCATCAAAATGAACAATGAATATCTCGTTTTAATATACCTGATTAAAGTACTCTTCCAATAAACAGTCAACCCATGGCTCCGAAACAGACATTGGACGAACTTCGTTAGAAATATCACAACATTTTATCAATACCATTTTCAGCTGAAAAATATTAAGATGATGCCCGTGTATAGCATACTATTTACTTGTACGCAAACCACCCCAACTCCTGACAAATCGACAAACGACTAATTTTCTTGTTTCTGCGCTCTTTTTTACAGAAACAAATACTTCTTGAATACCTTAGAGAAATCTCAACCGAAAATATCTTAAATTTTGGGTTGTAACCATATTCTTTAAAAACTACCAGTTCGTGGTTACTTTGGATATTGCTATTAATTTATAATTGAAATTGAGGATTTTGAAAAATTGCACAGAGAAAAAAAGACTCAGGTAAAGGTTGTCACGTAATATTTTCATTAATCCTAATCATGTCAGGGAATGGTGAAGTCATTAATCACTTTGTTAGTAACTAGAAAAGACAATTAATGATTTATAGACCATTAATAACTGTTGTAATGATGTATTTCCATTAGTTATATATCCGCAAAACAGTCGAATGTACATTAATTCCAGAAGAAAATGTTAACAGAACTTAAACAGAGCTGGCGTCATCTACCACGGTGAAGTAAAATATTGCAAATTATTATTTCATTTAATTCAAGAAAAGATAAATAATAAAGATTAACAGAAGAAAACTACCCTGCCGATCAAGAACACCTATTCCAATTTCTCAATGAGGCATTTATTACATCCGCGGCTTTTACATTTGGGATAATAAAACCCTCGTTTCCCCGAAATTAAACTAATGCTGCAATTCAAAGATCAATGGCCTTGGTTAGATGACTTTTACTCAGATCTATCCCTTAGATTGACTGAAAAATGCACTGTGAAGCAGGATATGCCGAAATATCTGGAACATGAACATTATTGGAAAGAAGACTCTCCAAAAGGAATGCAAAATTAACAATCCCAGTTAAAAAAGTCGCATCATGAGTTCTACAAGGGGTAAACATACCATGTGGCTAGTCGCAACCTCTTCTTTAGTTATCACTCGTACTGAAGAGCTCAGAGAAAGACTACACTATCAGAGTCGTTGGTATGTTTTAAATACATATACGTTACACATTTATCGATAGATTCTGTGAAGAGGATTAGTGTAGACAGCTTAACATCAACATCATTTTATACTCCAGCAACTAACATTGGTATAAGTACATCTTGTGATCATGTAAAAAAAATTATACTTACTGTATCCAAGTGATCCTTATTTTTGAAATTAAATCCTTTATTAAATTTATCTTTAAAACTTTCCATGATTTCTGCGTGACGTGCCATATCAGTGGCAAGGATGAGCATGGTTATTCCCTAAAACATAATAAGTGTATTGAATAAAAATCAGACATAAACAAGCAACGATATTCATGCATTAATTTCAAGCAAATAAACACAATCTTTATTTTGGAATGTATCTTTTCCAAACTCATCTGATGTCGGTGACAAATTTAAGGCATGAAAAGGTCTTTGATTTTCTTAACATTGTATACAAAACCAGCTTTACAATTCTGCATCAAACAGAGTGATTTTCATTGAAGTGAGTAAAATCTTCATCTGAAATGACAACTGTGGAAGTAGTCATGAACATTATGTGGAATGGTACGAGGCACCAGCGTGATATCTAACCACTTTTCTTTCTAACATTCCGATATTCCCATCAATAAAGTAGAAAGCCGAAAATGCATTAGATTCACCAAAGCTAAATCATGGAAGACCGTATCTGGTTTAAATATAAGCAACGCAATAACTGATTGGACGAACTGAATTGTGGCCTAGGCTGCTGAAGTATTAGAAGTCTGCGCCTAGGTCAGCAATGTAACTGGCAGAATCTGAGATTAACTGGGTTTAAAACGATTACATCAATCGAATGCAATTAGTCGCTGGATTAAATCGACCTAAACGAAGCCTGAAACGTTTTTAGTTGCTCGTGTTGACTTTCCATGAGAAAATGAGTTTAATTTGATATACGTCGGTTAATTTCTCAATAAAAACATTTCGGACATCGACGGATCTTGTGGGATGCCTTAAATCATCAACAATTTAAAGATGACGAGGTAAAAGACATAACAATGAGTGACTTACTGCTCTGATCCTTTTGTAAGTATCTTTATCCACATTAGCAAATATATTACACTCTGGGTTGGAAATAATTTGAAAGGCTACAGCACAATGATGATTTTCTAATGGTGATATATCGTTATAGCGGATGGCAAGTTCTGTTCTGGCATTTATCTGATATCTGAAATACAATTCCATTCATGATTCTCCAAACCTTGTGGCAATATTAATGTGCCCTCACGCCATAGCGATCACCAGTTGCGTATGTATGCGAATAAGAGAACTTGTTTTAAGTTTCAAATGCAACTTAAAATGCAATTTTTGTTCAGAGCTCATGACCAATTTCATTATTCGGTTATGATGATAGCACCGTTAGATTTTTTGAAATTGGACCACGACCCTGGTAATGCGAGGAACTTCCAAAGTCCCATTTGAATTAGATACCGACAACATATGAACGAAATTTAGTGAAAGAGCTATATCTACGTCAATAATTAACGTATAGAGTGCCCTTATTTTTAAGGATTTTCACCCAAATTCGATCTTTTTGCGCATATATCCGCCTTCCAAGTTTTATCATGTCGAATACTATTTTTTTGTTGTTTAATGTTTTAGAGGACGTATGAAGTGGCTAAACATGGCTGCCGACAATATACGTTCACTTATGGCGTATCAACACGGCGGCAAAGATTGTATGCACATTTACATTTCTGCAATTCCATAAATTTACATTGCAAAATTTACATTAATGTGCTTTTGAGTGGTTTACAATTTATACAGTGAAAAAAGATTTTCCATAAATTATCATAAAAAGAATCCAGAGTCGAACATAAATATACCGGAACAACCAGAAGTCCACTACATTGGACATTGGACTACATTATACAAGTAGAAATCTATACCTATTATGTTTTTGTGATGAGTGTTTTTTTTTGTGATTGTACACGAATGAATTATTATCTTGTTCGGCTATTCTCGCATTCAATAGTATTTTATATATTTCCATTATGTAAAGAGAAGCTTACGTATTGTTGTAACCCGGATGGTCCAAGTCATGACACACAGCCGCCGTCATGAGAATACCCAAATCTTCAGTTGATACATAATCCCACAATCTACACAGATGTATCATACCATACATCATCTGTGTAACACAGAAGCAATGACGGAAGTTGTGGAATGGATTATTTCTGTAATTTTCCTGCACGCATAACTGAAAATAATATGAATCACATTTTTGTAAAGCAGCCGTTTTTTCTCGATATATTAAATGAGCAGTTTTAATTGACGTAGTGAGTAGATTGTAGGAGAATTTAGTTTCTGAAAAGAGGTATGGAGAGCTGGAAATGAGCTGTATAAAATGGAAAAGCAAATCTAACGACGATTATTTCTCTTTAAGAAAATGAAAACATTGAGCTCTTTCAAGCAGATTAATATCAGTAATTCTTAATACTGTATTACAAAATATATATTGGTCTTGTCTCGGTAATTTACAAAAGAAAATAAGACAAAATCAATAAACCGTCTCCTAATTAACGTTTTGATTCCAACTAGTTTGAGTAGAAACTTCTCATAATCACAGACATTCTCGAAGAATTCGAAGACAATTTCAATAAAATTTGAAGGCCTTCAATTTTCTCATCTCTTCATCTTACATTCGCACATTAAGTTAGTCAATCGAAATTTGCCAGTTTATTGTAATGATATACTTATAACAGCTTTGCATTGATAAAAATATAAACATGGGCATACATTTTCACCTTGTAAAGAGGGAAATTTTGATCATTTTGTGTGAAATTTCTTAATGGGAAGCTTACAAATCTTAATAATTTTGGCAATTATTTGGTATTAATACTACTAATGCGATGTCAACTTACCAGCCATCTTTTAAGTGTGATGGGATTCATGTTAAACTCGTGAACCAAACCAAGTTCATGATACATATGTTCTAGTAAGCTTAACATCTGCAAAATTTAAAGGATATACATGCTGTAATAATCAGTGGTTGTGTGCTATATAGACCCCAAAACTCCTCAAACTTTTGAAAATCTACATTGTCAATCATATACAAAGATTCATTCTTTGATGCTGATGGTTATGAGTTTAATTTAAACTGAATACATTTCAATCTGGTCTTGTTTTTTAATCCTGCTAGAGAGATCGTCACATGGAGATGCCTTTTGGATTGTACATATTCAAATGGAGATGTTGTCGATGGTAATTAACACACCTTCGGAAAATAATATCAACAATAACAATAAAAGCAACATCTGAATGTGAATGGAGGGATGGAACAAAATAAGCAACAATACCATTTACCAAAAGTATTGCTAGTGGATAAACGATTATCATTTTATATGTTTTAATATTTCTCAGCCGTTGGATATAATCTATAGAAACTACATAAAATGAATGGCGATATATCTGTTATTAAGATACACGTAATATTTCCTTCTGGGAAGATAACGAGATCTAATAGCTTCAAATCACGTAGGAAATCTTCAGATGAGTCTGAAGATCAATGATACTTAAAATTCCACATGAATTTTTTTTTTCTTAATTAGTTTAGGAAATATTAGAAAATTCTAATTATTTTTTTTATCCTCACCTCATTAGGTTCCCAATGCCATATATCAAACGTGGGCTGTTTCACATAATCTACAGTTTCTTGTGACAGAGTATACTGAAAAATAATTATTACCGATTCCGTATTAAATGCTAAAGGCAACTAATTAAAAATATGTTAAAACATACCTCCGCGAGACATTATCCTAATGAAAAGTTTTCGAATTACATTCGAAGAAAACGAGACAAGATTACTAAGAAGAAAATAACTAATAGCTATCTCCTTTTAATAAGGCTTTTCATCTTTACGAACGGAATTATTTAGTTCCTCACAAAAATTAATTAGATTCTAATCAAAGGCATTGTCAGTTCCTTTTAATCGGGGTGCTTACCTTGAGGAAATGAAATGATCGGGGATGTACGTGTTATTTGTTATTTTTCTTTTCCTGATAGTGCAGATGAAGACGGGCAGCGATATGCAGAATGATATTAGCAGAAATAATAATTTTGAAAGTACGTTTTCGACATTAGCTATATTTCTATAGCGATTACAAACAGAAAATCTAGGACAAAATCATAACAGTGACAAAATGAGTGACCAAAGGGAATTTGTTAAATTATAAACAGTTACTATCAGAACAGAACTGTACTTTTAGATCGTAAACCGAACCAGTCATTAAAACATAAACAAGTTCAAGGTTCTTTATTTTGAGACAATGAGAAAACAAGGAAGTATCTATTTTTAAGTGTCGTGCTTCACAAATGCAAGCTGTGTTTTCATCAGATGAAATGAGTTCCAAGTAGATATCTAAACACAAAATGTAAGATTGATCCATTACACACACACAACGGAGGGGTTATTGCGTCTAAATGGTTATTATTAATGGGAGGACACAGTCTTTACACTTTAAGTTACTATGTAATAAATAATAGAATATGTCATTGAATTTCAATTTCAGCAACCCTATCTCTTTTCAGAATAAAATAAGTCGCCTGGTTTGGTTACAAGCGATTAACTTTCAGGAGGAGATAACTACAGTCTCCCGAACGTTCTTCACACATCATGGCCATGTTTAATTTAATTGTGGATACGTAAGAACGTATGTGACGTAGAATTATTACAATGAACGGAGACAGAAAGCTCAATTTTATCTCCTCCTGCAGATGTTAACGCTAAATTTTCAGACGAGCATAACGTTATAGTTAATTGTACAATACAGATTCAGAACTAAACCTATTTAAATGAGATATGTTAGAATATATTTGAAAGAAGAAGAGCATAATTGCAAATACTAAGTCGGATGAAAAGAATATGCTCTCCAATTTTGTTTTGGAAAGAATAAGTTAAAAAATAAATGCAAAATAGAGAGTTAAAATTAAACAGGTTCAGGGGTATTAGGACAGATGATATTAAGGATATTGTGTCCGAAAGATAAACTGAAAACATCGGGTAAGTGATTGGGAAGAGTTAAGATGTACAAAAATAAACTGAACAATTTAATGAATACAAAATTATTGACTATTAATCAAAGTCGACTGTCACTGACAAAGATGTAAAAAAAAAGACGTAAATAACGAGGAATTGCATTCAAGAACGAGGCAAACCCATATTGAGTTGTCCAGGAAATAAATATCAATATTTTTATCAGTATTCATTTGGTGACATTACCAATTGATAACATAGCCTATGATATTGATAAAAATGGTCAATAATCACTAAGATGTCAACAAGATAGATTGTTAACTTCCTTTTGATAAGTATTTCTTGAAGGTAAAATATGTCCGGATTCCCAGACCCGTCCTTGTTTTCTAATCATCTTTAGTTCAGAAAGGTAATTTTTAAGATGTAAGCTTTTGAAGACCGTTACCTTTTGGAATGGGGCTACTTGCAATTGAGGTACCTTAATCGTTTTGGTTTTGTTCTCTGCTATAGATGGTTTGCTACAGTAAAGAATTTCAATCATTTAAAATAATGTAAAATAAAATGAAACATGGTAGGTTTCAACAGATACACAAAAAATTTTCAAAATCTCAATCAGACCCATTGTTTTATAACGAATTATATCTAAAGTCATTATGGGGAAATTTGAAAGATTTTGAAAATTTAACATTGTGACTGTTTTTTTGGTATGTCTTTACCTTTGGATATGTTGGAACATCTCTTTTAAGGCTGATCTTTTTTTCATCGCTCAGGGAACTAAAATAATTACGTCCATTAGAATTATATCTTACAAAATATGTGAAACAAATGAAATAATGTTTTAGTTAACTAAATAACGAAATAAAATTCCGGTATATAAATGTGAAAGTTAAGGGGTCTGTTTTATGTCAGTCCTTGTTTCCCAAGATGTGGTACTAAACCGCCTCTTAGATACTTGTCAAACAATTGTATTTTTAAGTGATTTCCTAGTGACAAAACATTCCTGTCGACCTGCCAAAGGTATGTGGTCAAAACCGTACTGTGACTTTAACCACATACCCTAAAAAGTTTTGGTGGAGTGCCATTGGTCTTCAATGTTGAAGGGTACCATTAAACTCCATAACGAGTAATTCAAGTGTTTGAGACGATTTTAATGGATCAAAATGAATTATTTAATTTGAACAGACAAAAATGAAGCTTCTACCAAATTTAATTGAAATCCAAATGTAAAGACAAAAAGAACCATATTGTGGATTTCATGCATTTAATACATTATCGATGAGCTTCATGAACTGATCCTGAGTACCAACTGACAGGCATCTCTTCCATTCTGTTCTAGAAATTAATGCATTTTTACTATATTGGCATATTGATAAATTATTATCAATATTTTTAATTAAATATGTCATAAGGAGAATTTAATAATTGGTGTCAACGAGTAAAAATAGCGTTATTATTGTGAAGGCATTTATTGATTTTGACTCGTATTAAGTTATGAAATATGTCTGCTGAAAATCAATCATCATGATTATATGATATATCTAAGGCGTGAGTATAATAACATAATAAAATTGAAAATAATAGAACTGTTATTTTTTCATCGATAAAAACACACGGACGTATGAATAGTTAACTAGCAATCTGCCTTTGTCTGACTAGCGATGAATTATGTTAGCTTCTGTCAGTATGCTAGAAATGTGCTTTGGATACAAAAAAATCCCCAACAAAGGTTTCCAAAACTGGACTCAAGGCGTATAAATCAACTCGTGCATGAGTTTCATGAAAGTTTGTTTTGACTGAGCTCGGTTGCAATTAGCTTATACGAAGACGACAAATTTGAGTACATACTTATTATGATCGTATTTTTTCTGTGCTGTCCACATCTGATCTTTTATATCCGAGATATCTTTCTTACATTTCTCTATTTCAACCACTTTCAAACCTTCAACTGAAACATTGCACATCACTAGAATATGAGTTATGAATGTTATACGAATCAATAAAAACTGTCGTTAGTCTACACTTTAAAGAAACATTCCCGATTTTAGGATGTGCATTTAATTTACCAATAAACTCTTTTATTTATATGACCTCTCTGAAAGGCCAAAGGGATTGCCTGGCTTCGGCATAGTCACCGGTCTATAAATGTATAATAAATGTATTAAAGATATAATGAGCTTCGCAAACTCTCGGAAAGGGTTTCGAGTTAACTAACCTATTGGAAGAATGGTGTTCCTCATGAATTACCTTTTTCTGCCTCGCTAGTGGCAATCCCTATGTAGAGTGGGACTAAATTCAATAAAGCTTCTGTACTTGGTATAATTAGCAAAAAAGCTAATAGGTTAATGAATGGCCCCACTGGATAATTTTGTTTTAAGAAATTAGACCATACTTAACTCACTTTCAATTCTCTTCTCAAGTGTTGCCAGTCGATTATTAAGTTCGGTTTTTATCTCTTCCATTTTAAACACCCTAAATTTAAAACATAAAAAGACGCATAATAAGTATCAACATAACTTTTCACTTTTGTTTTGGTATTTCCTTCATATAGATATCAATTTTTTGATATATATCAGTAAGGTTGTATAATACAATGTAACATTTTGTGGTAAAAATATAAATATATTTTAATGACATTAATATTTTCTTATTCCTGGTATAAATATCCTTGTTATATAGATATAAGTATATCCGTGCCATAGTATATTCTTGCAATGTAATACCAGAATTTCTTTATGGTATAAATATCAATATTTCCTTGCGATACAAATCTCAGTACTTTCTTGTACTCTAGAGATCAATATATCTTTAACAATATTTGTTTATGGTATAAATATCAATATATCTTTATGCTATATATACCAATATTTCTTTACAATATAAATAACAATATTTGTTAATGGTATAAATATCAATATATCTTTATGGTCAAAATATCCATATCGTATAAATATTAATATTTCTTTATAGTATAAATATCAATATTTCTTGACATAAATATCAATATATCTTTATAGTACAAATAACAATATTTCTTTAAGGTTTTATTATCAATATATCTTTATAGTAAAAATATCAATATTTGTTTATGGTAAAAATATCAATATATCTTTATGGTCAAAATATCAATATGGTATAAATAACAATATTTCTTCATAGTATAAATATCAATATTTCTTGACATAAATAATAATATATCTTTATGGTTTTATTATCAATATATCTTTATAGTACAAATATCAATATTTCCTTATGGTTTTATTATCAATATATCTTTATAGTACAAAAATCTTTATAGTACAAATATATATCTTTATAGTACAAAAATCTTTATAGTACAAATATCAATATTTCCTTATGGTTTTATTATCAATATATCTTTATAGTACAAATATCAATATTTCTATATCAGTATTTCTTTATGGTATAAATAACAATATTTCTTCATAGTATAAATAATATTTATTTATGGTCAAAATATCAATATGGTATAAATATTAATATTTCTTTATGGTAAATAAATATAATAATATTTCTTTATAGTATAAATATCAATATTTCTTGACATAAATATCAATATATCTTTATAGTACAAATAACAATATTTCTTTATGGTTTTATTATCAATATATCTTTATAGTAAAAATATCAATATTTGTTTATGGTAAAAATATCAATATATCTTTATGGTCAAAATATCAATATGGTATGAATAACAATATTTCTTCATAGTATAAATATCAATATTTCTTGACATAAATAATAATATATCTTTATGGTTTTATTATCAATATATCTTTATAGTACAAATATCAATACTTCCTTATGGTTTTATTATCAATATATCTTTATAGTACAAAAATCTTTATAGTATAAATATCAATATTTCCTTATGGTTTTATTATCAATATATCTTTATAGTACAAATATCAATATTTCTATATCAGTATTTCTTTATGGTATAAATAACAATATTTCTTCATAGTATAAATAATATTTATTTATGGTCAAAATATCAATATGGTATAAATATTAATATTTCTTTATGGTATAAATATTAATATATCTTTATGGTTAAGATTATTAATATATATTTCTAGTATAAATAACAATATACTTTATGTTATGATTATCAATATATAGTTATGGTATAAATATCATGATAGGATTATCAGTATTTCTTATGATATAGATATTAGTTTTTTTTTATAATAAAGATTTCTCTGTATGTATTTAAGAATGTCACTAACCTGTTGAGTTGATCTGTCACATGGGTAAGAACTGATTGGAAAGCTTCAGTTTCTCCGCCTACAAAAAAAAATTAAAAATCATGTAAAATTAACTCCAAGACGATACTATCATTTGTATTTAGCTCACCATAACGAGTTAAAATACATTTCATTACTATCAAAATTTACACATTTGCGGTGTTAATATTTTTGTTTTATATAACAATTTCAACAACTTTTAATCAGTTATCTAGCATAACATTGTAAAGTTTTGGTTAAGTTACATTACATTACATTACAAATCATTATTCCAGACCGCGATTTGTACATTAATTTAGATTAAAGATTACATGCGATCAAATCATGCCCGTAAATAGTTCACTACTTGAACGAAAACATCAGTTCATTCCATTTGAAGGGCATTACCCCATTTATATTTTCAAAAACATCAGTTCGCGCCACTTGAAGGACGATACTCC